AATTCAGTACTGTTATTGGATACAGGGAACATGACTGAAATGGTGGCAGCATGATAAAGGTCTATGTCGGGTACGCCATTTTGATATTTCGGGGAAACCTAATTGAGATATCCATCCATTTTTAAGATTGTCAATCTGCTGTAAGTTTGCGAGAGTCCCTCGTTCACTGCACAAACTATTAACGCCGCCATGTTTGTGGGCGTTATTTGCCTCGCTATGATTTTCAAGATGGCGTACCCTGATAAAGGTCTATTGCCCTTATGAATTAATGCCAGATATTGATGAAACCTGCTTTTGTATAGGTTGATTTAAAGGTACATATACATAAACCCTGTATTTTTTCATTTGAAGCAGTAAAGTATCATCAAGTCTTATTAGTGTGCATAACATAACATGTTTCAACTCGGTGGATTCTATACGGTTTGAGAAAGCAGAGAAAATGAGAGCCAACTTTTTGATTTGGTCTTGTACCTGGATTCTCTTGCCAACACACGTAAACAGTTTGCCCGTGACCAACCTTCAGTGTTACTTTTCTTCGAAACGATATACCATTTCACTAGGTGAATAATTTCATAAGGTATTTGTTACCTGTTCCTATCTTCACTTTGAGCAAGGTTTCTGTCCTTAAACTGTGAGGTACTTTCCTGGGTCATTGCAAAATAATGATCCTACATGTACATGTAGGCCTACATGCACTGGCTTTGAATTGTACATGTGCTGTTGTATATTGTAGTACACATGTTTATGAACTCCTGATACTGGTGTTAAGTTGGAGATGGAAAATTTAAATGCATTGAAAAGATGCTGAATTGCAAGAGATGCCCGACTTTTGATATTTTTGTATAAAGCCTTATTTATGTGGAATGCTAAACAAAAGTACTGTACGGTCACATTCCACCAATGTTGCTCACCGATGTTGCTCACTGATGTTGCTCATATATTAACCATAAATGTGACGAGCATGTGAATAGTTCAGAATACCTTTGCTAACGGAAAATATATTTGGAATGGAGCAAACGTCAAAGAAGTAATGAAATTAAACTTGTTTTTTTTTTTGTATGATCATCCTGTCTGTCACTGTAATTCCTCTGCCCTTCAATTTTCTTTCATGCAATTACCGGCGGTCCGTTACCGGTTTGTAGTGCATGCATTTTATACTTTTACGGATAATTGATTTTCATATCCGGCAGTTGCCAAAGGACAATAAAAATGCCTATATACCTACGCATAAATTTGGCCGTGTTAAACGTTTTTGTGTGCATAATTATAATAGAAGCCGTGCGATTTTTTGGAAACAATTAACAGGAGAATTTATACTCCAATTTTGCAAAACACACGACTTTTGTTCTCTTTTTTTTCTCGAAAAATTTACAAGCATAAGTATCACTTTTCCGTTCCCATAATTGTTTTTAATATAAACATCAAAATGAAATTATATTTGCAATTACCGAAAACCTGTAATATGAAAAAAAAATTACGTTCTTGGAAAAACATGTCTAGAACCTAATACAAGAGAACGAATTTGAATATGCGGTTCACCCTCTTCACTTTAATATCGCTCCCCCCCCCCCCCCCCCCCAAAAAAAATAGCGGTACGCATTTTGACGTCCATGCAGAAGCTCGCGGGTCCCAGTCCGGTGTCATGTGAAATGTGGACTCCTACGAAATCTGTTCTCTTTTACCCTAATGTGGTGTCTAACCCTCACACGCGACCTGTCACTAAGGCATGCGCAATACAACCAATTAGTCCGCATTTCATTGTCCCAATCTTACAGTGCACCTAATGGAACGTGGACTCAATCTGGTATCTCGTACTTTAAAACAAATGAGTCCATATTTCATACAGTCCAATTTTCACACTTCACTGGTACCCTATACCTGGACAGGGTGAGTCCAAAAAAGCGGAACCCAAACCCAAGCAACAAATATCTTTTTTATAATAATATGTATCACCAAAATAATTATGACTGATAAGCCAATTAAATAAACTACTTTTTGTTGAAAAAATACTTCCTTTGCTGAATCCGTTTAAATTATATCACCATTTAAACGAAAGGACCCTAAAAAATGCGATTTGTCGTATACAATTGTCTGCAAACATCACCAGCGATAAAACCTCAGTTTAAAAGTTAAAAGTATTCAACAAAGTCCTTTTGAAGGCCCGTCTTTAAAAACAAAAGTGGATTTTATGAATCCTATTGTTGGGTATGCCTACTGCAGTTGTTGAAACAATTTTCTTTGCTGTTCCAAATAGTCGGAACACACAATAAATTCCTTTTTTAGACGAAACTGAATTTAGGGTTTAGATCGTTTCCTAGTGATACAATTTTAACGTGTAGAGCAATTGAAATTATTTTCTTACTTAAAAGTAGTTTAATAAATGGGTTTCCTAGTCACAATTAATGTTGGTGCTACATATGTTTTTTGATAATATATTTCTTTGTTTTAGGGTTCCGCTTTTTTGACTCGCCCTGTATTTCACAGGAATAGCCTGTATGACCCTGTGCGAAGGATGGCCTGCGAATTATACTTCCAGTAATAACGCGGAGGAAAGACAATGAATATGCTTTCCTGTGATTACAGCAATTAAATTTGGGATTCAAAATATGTACCATTACCACCTTCTTTCAAAGTTATAATTAACAATGTCAATAAGACGTTTCTAAATTTATTTTGTGTTCACAATGAAGGGAAATTGTTTCGGAGTTACTTGCTTGTCATGTGTAATTTAACACAAACTATATATAGGCCTATCATAAAGTACACGTCTCTAAGTAATGTATTTCCACAATGGATGCATTTAAAATATTTAAATTCAATGTTGTTTACATATTTATATTATCATTGCATTTCCTCGTTAATCTCATTTACAGAGTAACTGTACATATAGTTTGCTTTAGGCTATCAGCTTTAGTCCAAAAATTGGGCCACCGGTATCAAATGATCGAAAGGAGCAATGCTCATAGCGATTTTCGGCAAGTTATGCACGTCTAGAGTTGGGAAGTGTGTGATAACTTTGCAGTGTGAGCAGTGGCAGTTCTTTGAGTGTTATCCCATTTATTTTTTATTTATTTCTTTTCAAAATGGCCGCCACTATGCTTGTTACCGGATTAATGATATGTGGAAACAAGCCTGTTTTTGGCCGCCATTTGTTTAAAAAGTGATAGCACCCAATAAGCTGCCACCACTGCAATGCTTTCACATATTGTTCAACTACAGGGGTGCATACCTTGACAAAAATCACAATGAGCACAATTGCCCTCGATACCGACCACACCCCCAGTGATGGCCTACTTCCTCAACTGTCTGAGATTCTTTTTATGGTTGCAGATCAGTAAGAAGACTGACATAGACCTCAGTGATGATTACGTACACTTCCCAATATTGTTTCAAATACTCACAATTCTCCAAGGTGTTTGAGACACACATCAGATTAAAACTGATTTCATCAACTTTCATTTTCTGTTCAATTTGTTTGGGGGTTAACCATTGCTTTTTGGGAGAAATTCAATCCAATGATAATCACCCCCAAAAAGTAGTTATGAAGGCCATCACAATTTTAAAAAGGACGCGTACGCCCCATTACAAAATAAAACCATTTGAGGGCCTATGAATGTCATCCGAATTTCACGGAAATACGAGCTCGCAGTCCTCTGCACGGCTTCCACCCTTCTTTTTTTCAAACTCTCAAGTTCATGGCCCTAAAAATGCTCTAATATCGGAGACTTTGAGGGCATGCAAATCGTGATTTGTCCGGCGTACGCAATTTCGGAGTTCTTTACTGGCCTGCAGGCGCGGTTCTAGTGCCAATATTTGCGGGGGGGGGGGGGGGCTAGCAGGGTGGATCAAAATTTGTTTCAGGGAGGCGTGCTGAAATGTAGACCGGTTATTTTCTCCGGACACTTAGGCCTCCGAAAATCAATAGGGGGGTGGGGGTGGGCTTGTGCCATATTTTCAATAGGGAGCGCTGATAAAATCCTACAACCAGGCACACTATATTAACTAAAAGTGTACAAATGCACCCTTCTCACGACTATTTATTTAGGGGGAGACCGCATTTAGGGGGAGTTCGCATGTACGTCACATTCTTACATTTTGCTAGTCCAATTTTTTTAATGGATTTTTGTGGGGGGTTGGTAGACAATTTTTTTTTGGGGGGGGGGGGGCTACAGCCCCCCTAGCCCCCCCCTCCCCCCCCCCCCCCCCGTAGAACCGCCACTGCTGGCCTGCACCCCTATACAATTTAACATTGCAATACAAAATATCTGGATAGATTCTATTTCAATTAATTTTTCGATATTTGATATTGAATTTACATTGGGTTTTTTTTTAGCACTATTCTACAACCCACTTTCCTTATGCTTAAATAAATTTTAAAAATATTTGATCAAATACAATTTCTACTATTTCTACATACACACCGATTTTTTTTTAGCAAAAAAGGGAAAATAATTTCTTTTGAAACTTAGTCACAACGAAGTATACATCATTTGTATGCGTTGTTTGTGCGTTAATTGGCCGATACATGTAATTGAGTCGGCAAGCTTATTTAGCTTATTTAGCGCACATTCAATTTTATACGCGAGATCCTTGATCAAAGAGCCTTCACAAAACGCATTTAAAATGCCAACCCTATTGGGATTCTATGATGACAAAACATGTCATGCTTTAAAGGCGCAATGATCAAAATTCCCACTTCAAATGTTTTTCTTCTTGAAAAAACTTAAGATGGTGTTCACATTGAAACAGCACTAGATCAAGAATCAGTGTTGGAAACAGGGCTATAAGTTAAGTGGCTTGTTGCATGATTCCCTGCCTACAGACTTGACGGTCCCGTTGCATTCCTGGTGGCTGGTTTGAGCAAGTTCGAGCCAGAATTCCAGTTAACCATAGTTCGACTATCCTCAGTCCAACTCATGCTAGTCTATACAAATTATTCGCCACTATCTTGCCGAGGTCAACCTCGTCCCCAGGGCCTACTTTATTATTAGTCACTCGTTTCCAATTGTAGCTGGTAGAGAGAGACCAGGTAGTGGGAGCAAATACTGCTCGACACAATGGGGACGAGGCAGTGCCGAGGTTGGTTACATCGATGGTTACAACAGAGGCTGGGGCGCAACCTAATGTACTGCAGGGAGACGTGACAAATTAGTTTCGTGATGACGTTTTGCCCATCGTTTAAAGACGTACACCGGGCATGAGTTTTGTTACAACTCGACCACCAGTCAACAAGTGGTCCTCGATCGAACTTGTTCAGTCTTCATCTTGCATGGCGAGACTGATCGAGATGATCGACAGCTTTCAGACAGGATAAGCACGCCCTCACCAAACCTGAGCTGAACTGAGAAAGAAGCGATCAGTGGTTAATTACTGACGAATTTTTAAATTGAGATAAAAGTGGGTTTATTAAGAGTACAAATGAATTTGATGGAAATATCTTCTATTTTCCACCTGAACAGGTATCTTATCCTTTGTAGTCTTCTTTTAAACCTTTTCAGCATCATAAATATGTCAAATATCAAAGTCATTGCACAAATGAAAGACAATTGCACAGTGGGCTTAAAGTAAAACATTTCACTGTTTAAAGAACTATTGGAAAGGATGATTATTCACTTCTTTTACATAATTGGCATTTTCTCAGCAACCAATGTGCTGTTTCATGATTTTTTTTCAGTATTTGAAAGGAAAAGCTCTCAGCTTGAATCTGATACCCAAAATATAAAAATTCACACTTCACGTTTTCGAAAAAAGCAAATGTTTTAGAGGTGCATTTTGGGTCACCCTGTAGGTTAAACTTGAGCAAGATGGAACAAGAGGTCAAAATGAGGCAGTCAAAACTTTTTTTGCGAAGGACATTTTACAACTGGAAGCAAATCTATCTCAAATTATTGTAAAATTGAGCTTTTTTCGTTTAGCTGGTAAAGATCCAGACACTTACAATTTGAATTTATATTTCCCATCGCCAGTGAATTATTGTTCGCTATACTTACACAGCGCTGTAGCCATGGCACGTGACATCCACGTCACATGACAGATTGAAACCTAAACAAAAACAAAACCACAAAAAAGAGAGACATTAAATGGTTATAACATGCATTTTATACTGGAACAGTTTTGTGCGAATACCCATTAACCCTTTTAAATGTATGAATACTCTGAGACATCCCCTTTTGGTTTAAGTTTCTTTTGTGAAAGTACATTATTTTTGTAAGCATTCAAAATGCTGCATGCTTTTCCCGGCAACCGAGGGCGCTGTTGCTGTGATGCCATTTACATAGGTACATGTACAAGGTCACTCTACAGTTAAGGGGCAAATTGTGAACCCACAATTTTGCCCATTAAAATATTCCAGCAGTTTGTCGTATCCTGAATCAACAATGAATCACAAAACCCCAAGAACAATTTACAAAGGAAACAATTAATTATGTAAAAGCCTACTAGTACTGTAACATCATGTGGAATATTCCGTTTTTAGAAGATGTGTGATTAGGAAAAAGAACCGGTTGGTTGTGAAACTCGACGTTCCGATCAGTATGCTCTGGAAGTCTTCTCAAAAAGAGATTATTCCAGATTGTTTTACCGCAAACCTCATTAGTATACACTAGCACCATGCAACGTTTCAAATGCTATTCAAAATTCTGCGTGGCATTTTTTTGGTATTGAAGCAGCTGTAGCACTGACGTCTATTAATGACATCACAGTTCTGCTCATGAATATGGAAATGAGCATAGTACAAAATCAAGCAGCCCCAAAACACCCTTGAAAATGTCGATATGAAGATATGAAGTGAAGTAAAGAGAGACACAAAGGTGCATTTATTTTCAAGGATTGCATTAAAAAAGTATCATGACTGAAAGAGCTTGTATTTCTAGAAGTTAAGGCCGCTTCCATGTTATTTTCGGCCGTAGGGATGTAATTCGGACGTCGCCTTTTTGAACAATTCATCAATTAGGCAAGTGTATACAATTCATCATTTTTATACACAATTAAGCTAATAAACACAAAATACGATTTTTCTTTGTCAATTTATTCCATAAAACAGCGTTGGTTGACTTACGGCGGTGTATTTTTTTACCATGTAGGCCTAAAGTGATAAAAATGGTGGGTTGGTTTTATTGCAAACAGATGGCACGTTTTTCATTTCGGTATCTTCACGCCGTCCCGCTGTATCCATGCAATTATTTTTCTTCCCTTCTAGAAATAAAAGCTCTTCAGCCATTGCAGTATAACCCTCGTAAAATTTTTCGTTCCACATTTTATTGCCACAGACGTTTTGAATAGTGATTTAATGGTCCTCACAGCGTGTCACAACCGCACCGATCCAGGGGTTCAGTATATTAAATTGAATTTGTTTCACCAGTATACAGGGTGACCCAAAAAAATTGCAACCCTAAAATATTTGCCTTGAAAACGGAGATCAGTGGATTTTTATGTTTTGGGTATCAGATTAAAGCTGAGAGCTTTTTCTTTCAAATACTGAACAAATCATGAAAATGGCACTTTGGGTTGCTGAGAAAATGCCAATTAGTATGTAAAAGTAGTCATTTTCATCTTGTACACAAATACTTCAAACAGTGAAACATTTAACTGTAAGCCTACTGTGCAATTATCATTCATTTGTGCCATGTCTCATATATTTTGACATATTAATGATGCTGAAAAGGATCAAAATAGGATTAAAAAGGATGAGATACCTGTTCATGTAGAAAATAAAAGGTATCTCAATCAAATTCATTTGTACTCTTGTCATATTATGCGCCGTGTTGTTTGTGAAGATTAGGACATGCACAAATAGGTGCAGTGAAAATCCCTTACTGTGGTATCTTTTTGTGTACAGGATGGAAAATGACTACTTTTAATTGGCATTTTCTCAGCAACCCAAAGTGATATTTTCATGATTGTTACAGTTTTAAAAGAAAAAAAGCTCTCAGCTTTAATCTGATACCCAAAACATAAAAATTCCACTTATCCCTTTTTTTTTTAAAGGCAACTGTTTAGGATTGCATTTTTGTTCAGGTCACCTTGTAGTGTGTACATAAACGAGTGTTTCTTATTATTTAGTTAGTGAAGTAACTTGTGAAAATGGTGACCAATATGCGGCAGACTATAACTGAATGTTTTTTGTATAACAAAACAAGAGCAATTTTTGCCACAAAAACAAGTGACATGAAAAATATTTATGAAAAAATAGTAAATAATAGTAAATAACTTATAATTATAAGAAATAAGATACACTGACAAAACAGATCCCAGCAAAATTAATTAAAGGGTTTGGAAAAATGCTTCACAGAGATCATGCAATTATTTTGAACCATTTTTCCGGCCAATGCACTCTTACCTTTTAAAATGTTTCCTCCTTGCGGAAAGCTTAGCGCGAAGCTTACACAAACATATTACTATCATTGTCAAGGTGGGTGTCCCTATGGCAACGCAAAAGGTAGCAATAACTATGTCGTGTTCCATTCCCAACCCTGAAACAAAAATCACAAAATACGAAACAATACTTTATTTTCTTCATCTTCATTATATACAGAGTGAGTTAAACAAAAAGGAAACCGAAATGTCCGGACCATTTTTTTAATGAAGTTCTACATGTAGCACTTTCAAAATATAGGATATGGAAAGCCCAATTAATAAGCTTTCATTTAGTATATCAAGAATCATTCAAACCACTCATGTACATACATCCCTATGTGATTTGTTGTCGTTTTGCTGAAAGACAACTTGCCTTTTTGGTGATCCGTGGACAGAACTTTAAAACGGTGTTTGTGTTTAAAATTCCGTAACTTGACAACTACATGAATGATTCTTGTTCTCAAAGAAAGCTTATGAAATGGGCTCTCATATCCTAGATATTGAAAGTGCTACATGCAGAACTTCATTTAAAAAAATGGTCCTGACGTTTGGGTTTCCTTCTTTGTTTTTTACTCACCCGGTAGATACACACTGTATTACAAATTTATCGGCAAAGTTCACATTATTATTCAATTGATAGGACACTCGCTATACGTGCTATTGGTTTACTTCAAGTAGTTTTCAAAACATTATCCGATATACTATTGTAGTCGAATAGATCCTGTTATGTAGTTAATCGTCAGAAGTAAGAAGGAAAAGCTATAAATAGGCATTTATCCGGATATAATGTATATAATTTAATCATAATAATACCCTGGATTGGACATTTGGGAGACATCCCCATAGACTTGTGCACAAAACTTTTCAAACTTAAATGTGCCCCTAACCCAATATTCCCTTGTCCTTTTCCCACGAATTTCGGTATGTTTACTAATCAGACCACGAGCAACAAATATAACTTAATTGCGACACAAAAATGTGCCTCTAAAGGGGGGATGTGACATTAGGGAGACATGAAAATGTCCCCCTAATGACCGATGTCTCCCATCGTGCGAAGAAATTACGATAACGTGTCTCCTTAGTGGTACCTTTACACGTATAACCGTATTTATATGGCCTTTTTCAAAGGATAAAAAGCGCTTGGGGAGAATGCAACCAAACACAGGTAAATGAAGTATATGAACATATGAGACCCATCATAAAATTAAACTGTTGGAAATATCGCAAACCATTAGATTTGGCGTTATTATATACGTCTGATTGTATCAGCAGTACTGCAAACAACCCGAGACTGGTTTTATTTTCTCAACACTGGATTTTGTTCATCTTTTGGTAAGCAAATATTTTCCGCTTTGCAGCTAAGTCAACGTAGGCGATCACCCCGACGATAGTACTCCAACCCCGCCTATATTTTACATGATGCATGTAATTATATCTCCTCTAGCGCCGTATCTCTGGACAGTGAATAAAACGCAGTGAACTCTTCTCGCACTGGCGTGAATTCATTTGCGCGCGGTGAACTAATCCGCGTGCGCACGCGAATTTTTGGCGTATTTTTGCTCGCGGCATGTTGCAAGGCGAGATTTCCGTCGAGTATTCTTGGCGATGAATAACCATGAAGTGCCCGGGATGCGCTTCGTTATCTAATAAATCAAGATCCAAATATAATTAATGAAGTAGATATGGCCCTTGAGACTAATAAGTACACGGCTACGGGAATGGATCCGCAGAGCCTGCGATGATGAGGCGAAAAGGAATTCCGCAGCCATACTCGGACAAATCCCAGCATGCTAACAATTCTATCACAAGGCCCTTTTCAAGGGCGAAGAATCGTGCCTAGATTCTGTTAAGATAATTCGTCACGGGGGAATTGCTTTTTTTTTTACATTAGCATGCACTATGGTTTTCTCTATTGAATGCCCTAAAGTGTACAGCAGACTTGTATTTGAGTCCCCAAACATCGAGTCCGAGTCACGAGTCATGAAGGTCGAGTCACGCGTCATGAAGGTCGCGTCCTAGTATAACGAGTCACAAAGGTTGAGTCACGAGTCCGAGTCACAAGTCACCTTCAGTATAATACATTAGAATTAAATGTTGAGGTACTGCTAAAACCTCACAGTGCAAACGTTTCCATTTTTTCACAGCTTTTCTCTAAATTAATGAACTTGAAATATACTCGTACAACATTGTCAAATAAGGCAAGGCACCAGTGTCTGGAAAGGTTAATCTGGTACCGAACACTATCAAGCTTGCATTGAATATCAAGTGTGGACGCTGGGGTTCATGTTTCGACACGTTGATTTCCCAAATCAATTATATTGTTGACAAAAATTAAGTGATTTGTGGTTACTTTGGTCGAATCTGAAGCCATGCAGGTCGAGTCTGAGTCTGAGTCCAAGTCCGTGTCCGCAGGGTCGAGTCCGAGTCTGAGTCATTTGTCATCGTGACACGAGTCCGAGTCCGAATCCTGGAAAATAGGACCCGAGTAGGACTCGAGTCTGAGTCCGAGTCACGAGTCATACAAGTCTGGCGTACAGTGATCACATGGCGGATTCGTAAGTACTTCTGAGTATGATGAGGTGGCCATGTCTGCTCTCATTATACCCAAACAATGGCTTTATTCAAAAGATGGCAATTTTATATCTTGGTCCCTGAATCTACTTTATTATACATTCAACGTTCAGTGAAAAGATGCCAAAACTATTATGACTACAGTACTCGTTGAATTTGAGCCAAAACCGTGGTATGAATTTTCATCCATACTTCATAATAATTTGTTGAGCCCGAGCAAGTTAAGCACTTGCCTCAATCGCGCCATTTCGTCATATAAAACTGTTCGCTGTCTTCACTTCGCTTTCGATCAATGGCCCTGACTCGTAAATACAGAACAGTAAATTTCTTCATAATGATATAATGTTTCGGTCAACTGCGGAACTAACGTTTGAGAATGTGATAGGCGATCAGTATTTTTTTCAAACGGTACTGTCAAGTGATGTTGCTCAAACTTAGGCGCCGAATTCTTTATCAATGCATAGCTGTAACCATTGTGCATTGCTAATGCACAAAGCCATTTCAGGCTTTATGTACATGTAATTCTTTGGATTTGCTTAGGTTGAACAAGGCGTCCAGTGCATCTTTCACTGAGTACACCTGTATAACAAGAACTCTTTGGGGAAGAAAAGGAGATTCGTGGGCAGGAAAGTTTCACAAAGGGAGCCCGCTACATGCCGACCGTGGGTTGTACGTTGTTGTACATCAATGATAATGTTAACAATGTCATCAATGATAATGTTAACAAATGTCACGCGAGTATGTTTCAAAAGGTGAAATTTTACTCAATCACCCACTGAAAGTAGGTAACAGACGATTAACACTGTAAAACAAAATACTTCATTGTAGACTGAACCCCCCCCCCCCAAGAAACTGAAGTGGAAACTGAATCTACTCGACAGAATAAATCTCGCTCTAAACGTCTTGCCCCTTGTTACTGATCAATTAGTTATTAAGACCCTGCATGTGGTATATAAATATATGTGGTTTTTTTGTCAATATATATATATATTTTTAACATACCCATAGGTTGGTAGTAGCAATAAAAGAATTTCCTTCCTCTAACTGAGTACGGGTGCGTCCCGCTCCACCGCTGTTCGGCCAAGGGCCACTCGATAAACTGCAAGTCCGACTCCATGTTTTGCACCTTTTGACAGCGCGGCTCTCCATAGGGCATCAGGTAGAAGGGCGCCACCATTCCCAAATCGATGGCAGTGTCGACGTTCCCAGTGTTTGAGCAGCAGTAGTGGACCAGGGTTATGTTCGGGTACGTGAGGGAGAGGGGCGAGGTTGGGTCCACCATCCGTTGGCCTGGGAAGCTCTTGAAGGGTAACGCCGTCACTCCTGAAAAATCAAAATCAAAATTCTTTAAATATTTCAATTATAGAGATTCCAGTACAGCATGGTGTCCTAAAAAGGACAGGCAAACTTCGTGAATCAACTTTTCAAACGTCGTAGGCCTACTTCAACTTCAAAACGCCGTGGTTCTATGTTTCAAACGTCGTGGTCTAACTTTCAAAACGTCGTGGTTCCATTTTTTAGAAAGTCGTGGTTCGTTTTTCGAACGTCGTGGCTCAACTTTTCAAACGTCGTGGTTCAACTTTTCAAACCTCGTAGGCCTATTTCAGCTTTCAAAACGTCGTGGTTCAATTTATCAGAAAGTCGTGGTTCGTTTTTCAAACGTCGTGGCTAAACTTTTCAAACGTCGTAGGCCTACTTCAACTTTCAAAACGTCGCGGTTCAATTTTCCAAAACACCATGGCTCAAATTTTCAAACGTCGTGGTTCAAGATTGTGTTGGCAATGTTGACATGTATTCTTCAGGTGTACATGTAAGTTGACGTGTATTTTTCACATGAATGTTAAAAAAAAAAATTAAAAAAATGATGAAATATTTTTCACCGAGTTGGCGCATATGTTTCCAAAGTTGAAATGTACTTTTCACGTTAATCATGATTTTTTTGAAAATGCTGACATTTTTCAGCGGGTTTGCGCATTTTCTCTTTACAGTGTTGATATATATTTTTCACGAAGTTGGAGCATAACATTGTTGACATATATTTTTGTTTTCATGCGAATCTTGACTAATAGTGTTTTAAATATTGATATATATATTTTTCACTTGGTTGGCACATATATCTTTACAGTGTTGACATATGTTTTTCAGCGGGCTGGTACGAAATAAATTTTGAGGCATGTTTCAAAACGTTGCCATGTGTTTTTGTAATGTTGAACGGTAAATGTTATTGTTGTGTAATTAAAAAAAGTTGTCCTGTATTTTGAAATGTTGACAGTTGCCGTGCAGGGTTGAATAAATTCCGCTTTGGCGTGCCATAGTCATGCCCACACGGCAGTGCCGACTAACATGGTCACTTTTATCCAGCACATATTGTAAATTGCATTATGGGAGAAGTTGACATACAAATCTTAAGATTATCTCCAAATTTAAAGGTTACTCAGGATTTGTTGGTGTGTGCAAACTTCTACACATATCAACCCTAAAGGGGCCGGGTTATTTTGATCATCTCTCAGCTGGGGGGAGGCGGATTCCGCCCCCGTAAGATCTCGACCATCGAGTGACGAAAAATTTTGAAACTCAGTACATGCATAGAACAACTTTTCATGAACATACCCAAGAAATTTCATGACTATAGGTCAAAGGGTTTTGGAATGATGGCTAATTAGTTATTCATATGTACGAATTGTAATTCTGGTCTGTGTAATTAGTTTTTACGGCGCGGCAACCCGTGGTCCGATTTTTATGCTTTTGGTATCAAAAGATCCGCAAGGCTCGAGGCTAAAAAGTCAGAACAGCTCGAGTCGCGAAAAAAAAAACAAGGCTATCGCGGAAAAAGTTGAGGGGGCCGCATTCCGACCCACGGTCCCTTTAGGGTTAAACACTTGATATTTTCCATGCTTTCCCTGACAACTGAGGGCGCTGTTGCTGTGATGTCATTTCAGGAAGACACTGTTGAGTTTAGAGTTTTCTGTTCAACGTGTGAACCTCTCAGCACTGCACAAACTGGCGATATTCATGTTGTCTGGTGCTCATTTTAGTGTCCATTACTCACCAGACTTGAAACCCCGCGGGCAGTCTCCCAACACCCACTCGAACACTCCGCCGTCTTTCCTCGCGATCTTACCCACGCTGTGGATGCAGTACTGGCCGGCAGGCCAGTCCAACACCTGGTCGTCGATCGAGCCCTCGCGCACCAGCGTCTTGTTCTGCACACAAAACTCGAACAGGACCGTGTCGTCATCAAGCGTGTCCAACGCGAGTTGAAACTCCTCGGAGATGTTCGTCTCGTGGGTAAGGTTGGAGTATCTGAGACGGACCCTGAAATCAGCCCAGTGCTCTGTAGATAAAAGCAAACAACAGAAAGAATTAGGACACCGACTATTATGGGCTAAAATGTTCATTCCCTACTGAAAATCGGTCATTCATTTTCGACTGAATTTGAGAATCGCTCTGAACACGCGTTTCATTTTCGCTACCAGAGCATTCGATTTCATTTCAGTTCAATCAATTAAGTGATTGAGCAGTTCGTTTATGTCCATTCAGATTCATTGACAAGACTTCTTGTTCGCTCTTAGAGGGCGATTTCAAACATTCACCATTCTATTTCACTTTTACTTTGACGCCATCGGCACCAGATACAATAAGGGGTTTCTTTTTCATTAACCGTCAATCAAATAAGCTGTACCTGAAATCAATTTCGAAAAGGTATACTTGTGTAAATGAATGCACAGGTAACGTAATTGGCCGTCTGTTTCTCAAACCGAATGCACGGACAATGCAAACGATTGAATTTTCGGTGTATTGAAATGGGATTAACGACGTGCGTTCAAATTCAGACGAAAATGAATGACCGATTTTCAGAAGTGAATGAACATTTTAGGAAATTGGCCGGAAAAACCTATATTTCTGACCCAATTTCAATATCTGTGTAGCAAATAGCATTAGCATAAGTAATACCAAGAGTATTCATGGTTAACGCTGATGGCCTTTTGAAGCCCACAGAAAAAAGTGTTAAAACTCACACAATTTAGTTATTGAAAACAAATCAAACGAGAGCTTTTCAAGGGAAATAAGTCACATTATATCTGGCCCATTAAACCAGCGATATACGCCAAATGTATCAAAAACTAATTTGAAGATGTTCATCTTGCATTTTATCTAATAACGTAGCTACGAAGCACGCTATGGACATCATGTTTGATATGCCTGAAATGTCCTCGCTTCAAAATCTCAGATTGAGTGAAGAGACATATCTCTTGATCAAGTCACAATTGTAATAACTTTTTTTCGGATGAAGTTTGAATCAGACTTCACGTGTTTTTTTGAATGCTTGTAACTGAACAAGTAACAAAACAATCAAACATCAGACAAACAATGCATGTAAACAACGCCGTGGCGTAGTTACAGTTTGTATAAAAATGCACGATTTTTTTAAAATTTCGATTTCCTTTTCCGAACGAAATTAAAAGGAATATAATGTCCAGTAACAAATAAATTTGCTTTTTTTTTTGCTTTTTTTGGGCAGGCTTTACAGCAGTGTTATAGGACTCCAGTCCAGGACTCGGGCTCGAGTCGGACTCGGGTCACATTTTTCGTGACTCGGACTCGACTCGAGTCACATTGGAAAATGACTCGGACTCGGACTCGGACTCGACCATGATGACTCGGACTCGAGCTTAGTGACTCGTGACTCGAGTCACGTATTTTCATCAAAAGAAAAAAACATAACGCTACCTATTTGTGCGACGAACGTAGCGTTCTTTTTTACTCTATAGACAAAACGCGGCACCCCGGAAAATCGTAACCAGGGGCCGCACGGACTCGGACTCGGCGTTGGTGACTTGACTTAAACTCTGCCTTACAGCGGTTATAAAATGGTTTTAAATGGCGCGCTCCAGTTCAGAAATTGCGCACACTATTCAGAACGAAGGAGCGTCCCGCTGGTAATTTAAAAGTTGAAATGAATAAATTGATTACTTGTCATGGGCCGATTTTTTTCATGTGATGCCTCATTGGAAAGCCCATAGCTAATGTTCTAATATAAAATTATCAATTCAATTTGAAAATATTGTTTTCAAGGTGCAACAGCCAAGAAGCACGTATACACCAACTTTAAAACCACATCTTACCTGTGCAGCCCGTCAAGGGGCGTGGTAAGGCGTACCCATCCATGCGGCCACTGTGCAAAACTATTAGGCAAACAGAACAACTTCAATTTAACAATCAATCGGATGTCATACATAAATTGTATTAAAATTAAGGAAAGGGCAAGGCCGAACAGAATTAAAGAAATAGACCAACGAGCCTCCAAAGCAATAGCCAATTCACAATAGGTTGGCCCAAACACCCCGGAACGGCGTACTTCCGCTACCATGAGACTCAAACAACCTAGGCCCAATACATTGGGAAATCTGTTAAAAGAACAATTAATCCCAAGATCCCCAGATTCGGCCCAGTAGTTTTTGTTCTGTGAAAATAAGTCGGGAGTCATTTTGTATCGATGAATTAAATACTAAACCGCGCCCGAGACTTTGTGAAACGCCGCTATAACGAACACCGTTATAATGAACATTACTATGGCTATAACCAACATCCTCTTTGGCTCCCGAAATAAAGGTTTTCCCGGCAAATTTCCTAAAATGTTCATACACTTCTGAAAATCGGTCATTCATTTTCGTCTGAATTTGAGAATCGCTCTTAACACGCGTTTCATTTCGCTACTAGAGCATTCGATTCCATTTCAAATCAATCAATTATGTGATTGAGCAGAACCTTTCGTTTATGCTCATTCAGATTCGTTTACAAGACTTCCTTTTCGCTTTTTGAGGGCGATTTCAAACACTGGCCATTCTATTTCACTTTTAGTTCAATGTTATGCGATGCAATCTGCTATTTTGAATGAGAAAAATGTACTTTTGATTGCACATTCACGAAATTGAATGCCAAAACTCTGCGCGACAAGGTGTGCTTGCGTAAATGAATGCACATGTAACGGATTTGGCCGTCTGTTTCTCAAAACCGACTCCACGGACAATGAAAACGATTGAACTCTCGTTGAATTGAAATGGGATTAAAGACGTGCATTCAAACTCAGACGAAAATGAAAGACTGATTTTTAGCAGTGAGTGAACATGTCAGGAAATTGGCCTGGAAAACCTATATATTAAATTTTATTATAATGCACAATCACTATAACGAACAACCACTATAAGGGACATTTTCAGTTGACCCCATCGCGTTCGTTTTGGTGGCGCTCTATTAATACCCACATGAAAGATGTGTGCTTCACAAAATAGGCTCTGCAGCAAAAACTACTGGACCAAATCGGGAGATCTTGGTGTCGTATTTCTTCTGAAAAGATTCTCCATCCATTGGTACAGGCGGTGCGAGTTTCAATGTGTAGGAGTGTGCCGTTCAGGTTTTTTTGTTGGGCCACCCTGTATATAATGATGACATGTGAAATCTGTCGAGAGATATGCATCTTTATCTCACACCTTATTTTATCTTTGAACACTTTTAACTTTCTGAGAAGATCAATAAATTCGGCAAGTTACTTAATTGCTTCCACAAGGTTAAAATGGACCATACATTGTAGCTTTAGTGCGGTAAAATGTCGTTCCGCGAGGACCTGCGAGTTTACTCGAGGTTTAGAACGGTTACACCTCTATGTTCCGACACTCCCATGTTCCGACACCCCTATGTTTCGACTGCACATAGTCCTATTCCTAATCCTAACCCTAACCCTAACCCTAACCCGGAGTAAACAGTCTCATGTGCCGGTTGTCGGAACATAGGGGTGTCGGAACATAGAGCAGTCATCGTGTAGAACAACTCTGCTTGTCTTTAATGTCGTATTCTGCAGTGTGAGTCTCAAATGTTGCGTAATAATTACCACGCTGTTTAAAAAATGCAAAAAAAGTGAGGGGTATGTTTAATACAAATTAAGGGTGTCAATTGAGACTCTAATTTTGAAGGAAAATGAATGTTTACTTTTTGATACACATTTCGAGCTGCAGTGACCAAAGCCAGACTTGACTTGCAATATCGACAGATCGGCATCCGGTGGCCTCTTTCCTTATGCTAGGTTCACACATTCCCGAGTTAGTTGTGAAGACAACTGGAATAAACCAAGAATTGAAATTGGTTCCCGAATCACCCCGACAATTTTGAACACGTTCAAATTTGTTGGGCGCTTCCCGATCTTTTACGATCTTTCACCGAAATAACACGATCATCCCGAGGCAAGCAAGAACCATCCCCAATTTACTCAAGAATTGCTGTTTTCGTGGTATTTCGGCTTAAAAATCGGTGTGAACCTAGCATTAAATCTACATCTACGGCTTAAAGGTACAGTCCATCATTTGTAATGTGTGCATTTTGTTCATTTGAAGCAACAAACGTGGTCAAAATCTAAAGAAGGGTGCTGAACAACTAACCTGATGAACTTTCAGCTCAGCCTCAGCTGTAGATTTCGAGAAAAACAAAATTTTAGGATCTTGATTTCAAATCATAATTTGCTGAATCATGTTTTGAATTGGGCCTGAATTCAGCGTCCGAGACACGTTCTCACTGAGCCGGTTGCAGCTTCGCAATGTCGCGCGCTGATACGACGATTTATAGCAACCGTGCGCGCGTGTGCGTCATGTAAATTCTTGCGCACGCTTCGCCGAATAAAAAAAAAAGAACTACTAATTTACTACTAAATTTCCAACGCTGCATCTTTGTTGGAAAGGTCTTCTTTCATTGATTTCTTCAAAATGACAGCATGCGCTGCCAGAAAGAATTATTTTACAGGGAGTTTAGTTCCCTCATTATCTTTCAACCAAGAATGTTTTTTAGCAATAATTACGTCAGTTTAACTTTTTGGATAACTGCAAATGATGGACTGAGCTCGCTCTAGCCGCTATCGACTGTGCTTAGACGTTAGGTATACCGGGTGCGTGCGGTTACGGCTGTCGAGATTTGAAGAGGCGCTTGTTTTATCGATGGGCCAGCCACAGAGCACCTCTTGGTATTCATGATTGTGAAGGGGGCAGCAGGGTTAAGAGCTATTGGAAATCGGTTAGCTCCATCGAGATGGAGAGAGGAAAAACACACACGGGGTAGGCTGGGACCGTATTAGATCATTGAAGTCTATAGGTTTAACCTACTTCGGTTTGGCAGCTCAAGTAAAGGCGGCCTAATAGGCCTACCGTGGATAAGTCATGCATTACCTAAGACGGATGGACAAGAATATCGGAATTTTTTAACTGCGTCTAATATGTCAGACTTTAATAGGAAACCGTCTTGATGCTGCTTAGTGAGAGCACGCGTGCAGCTACTCTTGAGAAATGAACTGATGAAATGGAATGAGAATGACTCGTGCGAGAGAAATTGTTTATTAGGCCTATACCTATAGGCAGGATTTGCTTCATCCAAACCACCCTTGAACTGGATGAAGATTGTTTAATATATCATTAACATTGTTTGCCTTTTACCGGTCGTGAAGCTGTACGATTCGCCTGACATTATCTGGTAGTCACGATCGATAGCCTGGGTAATTTCAGCTGGAATGAACATTTAACTTGATGCGTCTTATTACAACTAGAACTAATCGGAACATTGCGATCAATGAAGGGTAAACAATAGCCCTGCGTCGGGTAACCAGATATGCGACAACAATTATTGTTGACTGCTGTGATGTGGGATAGACGTTTTTAACACCCGAGAGGGGGTTAAAAACGGTATATCCCACATCCCAGCAGTCAACAATAAGCCTCTGTACTAATGACGTCACACTTTGTGTACATGTGCACTTTCTTATGGAGCCAGTGGGGGCCCACGGTCCACTGAGCACCATAGGAAAGCACACACGTAAACAAAGTGTGACGTCATTAAGTACTGAGGCTTATTGTTAAATACGGAGCATTCAGTTCCAACTTTTTCAGAAATAGTTAAGTTTTATGATTATAGTTTATCCACTTTTAAATTGTTATTTTATTACTACAAATAACTAAAATATGTGGTCTGTTGTTTCAGTCGTCGTGGAATCTTTCTCAATAAAATGTTGCATATCGCAGCGTCAGGTTCCTTGTATATTTGCAAGTCACTCAAGCTCGAAGGCATTTTTGGGCAGTGTGTTTGTTTAATTCTTGTTTTAATATTACCATAAAGTTGATTCAATTAAATATATTGAGTTTCCACTCCAGAAGTGTCTTTATTTCCAAACCTTTTTTTTCAATCTAACCGGGTGATATTCATTCTTAGACGTCTGGTCCCAATATCCAGATAGAGTGGAATTTCATTCGTTGTAAATAAGAGCGTACGGACACTTCACAGGCCTACAAGTATTTTTGAACCATGATCAGCTGATCAGACACTGTATCTGTGTTTGTAGGGCCGAGAGGATGCGCAGGTAGACGCATTCTCATTATACCGTCAGCCCCAGACAACTCGTGAGAAATCAAATGCCGAGAGACTCATTGTTGCTCCAGACCGCCCGTGGGAAACTAAAAACCAAGAGCCTCGTAATAACCGTATTGTTTGCCGAGCGACGCCACCTAGGCACTATTTCCGTTTAAGGTTTAGTTTCGTACTTGGTACTTGGTTGGTTTCTTCCTGAAACATCCTCTGGGGATCTTGACTGGGGGGTCACGGGGAGGTGTCGGCACCTAGGTCTCGGTCATGATGTGGTTGTAGTAGTTGTCCCTCAAGGTCTTGTGCGTCAAAGAGTCAGTGATGTGTTGGGGCAGGTCATTCCATAATTAAATTGTCCTTGGAAAAAAATGAGTTCTTGAATGCAGTTGAGGATGTTTGTACTATGTTGAATTGGTTGTTGTTCCCCCTCCCGGATCTCTGCATTTTTGGTTGAAGATAGTCTGAAGCATCGATGTCTGTGAGTGATGATCTTGTAGAGTTGAGTCATCTGGTGGGCTTCCCTTCTGTCAGTTAACTTCTCCCATCCAAGAGACGATAACATGTTGGAGACACTACCCTGTCTGGCGTAATCTCCATGAACAAAGCGTGCAGCTCTGCGCTGAATTTTCTCTATCGCAGACAGATGACTGACTTTACAAGGGTTCCATGCTGCTACACCATATTCTAAGAGTGGCCGGACAAGTGTGAAATATAACCTTTCCTTTACGTTTTTAGAGCTAATGAAAAGATTTTGTTTGATGAAGTTGAGGACTCTCGTTGCCTTGGTAACAGC